GACTGTATATATTGAATTTATATCTTTAGTAAATCTTCATAAACTTTTAATAATTAAAACCTCTTATGCTATTAATTTTTATTACAAAATTTATTAGATTTTAATCTAGAATAAACAAACAAACGAGGTTCGCTAACTAGTCGAACCAATCCAATTAGGAAAACATTTACAATCTTTAAAAACCCGGAAGAAATTTCCAACTCAATAATACTGATTGACGTTTATGATTTTTATCTACTTTTTAACGATGTTTCTTAGTTTTTTCATTGTGCTTTTAACATTTTCTCTTTTATTAATATGAGACTTACACGCAACGCAGGTCAGGTTCTCATAACAAATCAAATTTTACTGTCCGGTTTAACCGTGTAAAAAAATATGAAAAGAAAAGCATCAAACTAAGACGGTCGTAAATTTTTCAGCTGGAAGTCAATGCGCATAAATATTGAATTTTCGTTCTATTTATGTATTCCGTTCCGGTCATAGAAAAGATATGTTTTAACAATGGTACAACGGTACTGTGTCGGAATGTTTTTGTTTTAGTCATACGAAATATTATTTATATCTTGTATGTCAATAATTTATGTATGTTTAAGACGAGTGATTAGTTTGGAATTATGAATAGTAACCCGTTTTTATATATGTTTTCTTAAAGTTTGTTACATATATTATTTTTCTTTATTTTTACATATATTTTCTTAAGAACATTTGATTTTTTAATTTTGTCATAATTTTAATATCTTATTTATTTCTTAAAAAGAAAGAAGAATGCTTAGATGGATGAATTGAGTGACAGACAAGAATAAAATTAAAAATGAGTATATTCTAAAAGGTGTAAAGTGGCATAAATTGATGTCAAGGTTAAGGAAAATAGCAAATAAGTTAATATGGTTAGGACATGTCCAACGTAGAGATGTTAATCACTCAATAGAAATAATTTCTGTTTTGCTAGTGCCAGGGAGGAATGAGGGAGAAGACCTAAGAAGTCCTGAGAGAAAACGCTTAGACAGAGTGGTAGGTAGAAGAGATATGAATATTCCTGTACATGTATCAGCACATAACGTTACATATATATGCACATCATTTTATATTATGTTAAAAGTAGAAAGTTAAAAATTAATTTTACATGACTAGCGTTTGTAGATAATAAAGTAAAGAAAAAAGAACATAGATTAGGAATTAATACCTATTACTAATACAAAATTAATTATTGTCGGCAGAGCAACAACAACAGGATGAGTAATCGAAATATTACCAGATATGATATTGTCAATAATTTGATACTACATCTAAGAAGTGCCGTCAATAACAAATGATATTGTGAATAGAAAAATCGACGACATATTAAGATAAATAGAATAACTATGACTTAACCAATTAAATTCCGAAAGGAGAGGAATTTAGCCAAAAATATTGAAATTTTAATCTCGTACGAGCCCTTTGTTTTCTTAATATTATATTATACATCTACAAGGTGGACTATTCGACATACTATTTTGGAGAAGAATTTGCAAATTTAAGATAAGGTGTTAGAATTTCGAATGCATTGGACAACAAGAAGAACAAACACAGCAGTTTTTGAAGAGGTTTACAACTCACGGCGTCTCTAGCTTCGTATATTAGACTCCGTTGGTGATACAGTAGTACACAATATGGAGGATCTAATGGTCCAAGGAAGATCATAAGTCAACTGGAGGAAGGAAGGTCAAACTGAAGGATAAATGTGTTAAGACGAAGTGGAGAAATTACTGAATACAAACTTCGTAAATGTAGTACAACCAGTGCAGAAACATGAGAAATCCATACTAATGTTGATATTGCTTTTTAAATATAAAAGTGTCCACGGTATAAAATAATAGGATTTCTCATTATAATATATATTTTGGAACAGACTTCGTCATTAAAGTTTTATTTTAAAATCATGAATGTGTTGCTTGTGTGAGTCCATATCAAATAGGTAAAGAAATAATAATAAGACTTACTCTCAATCAATTTAATTTAACAATCTGACGACCGGTTTCGCTTTCTACAATTTGCAAAGCATCTTCAGGTCTAGATACAAAGTTAAACTAATGCTGCAATAAAATAAACCCAATTAGGGTGGTGTCTAATAAAGATAAAATAAACAAATAAGTTAGTTCATACAAATTATAGTAATTATGCCAATATTACATGTCTGTGGTTTTCAAAATGAATAAATTTGAATATATAAAAGGTATTAACAGACAAGGTAAGACCCACAATTGGTATAAAGTAGTAATATTATATTGTAATAAATTAATAAATGAGCAGATAAATAAAACAAAACAAACATTACTTACATGCCGGTACTCTATTAATTGATGGATGGTAGGTCATGGTTGCAAAAATCATGTATTGTTGATTGGAGAACTTTAATGTGCTATTGTAGTTGTTTTGACAATAAACGGGAAGTTCTTGAGGAGAACAGATTTGATCCAATTTAGAACTTCCCGTTTATTGTCAAAACAACTACAATAGCACATTAAAGTTCTCCAATCAAAAATACATGATTTTTGCAACCATGACCTACCATCCATCAATTAATAGAGTACCGGCATGTAAGTAATGTTTGTTTTGTTTTATTTATCTGCTCATTTATTAATTTATTACAATATAATATTACTACTTTATACCAATTGTGGGTCTTACCTTGTCTGTTAATACCTTTTATATATTCAAATTTATTCATTTTGAAAACCACAGACATGTAATATTGGCATAATTACTATAATTTGTATGAACTAACTTATTTGTTTATTTTATCTTTATTAGACACCACCCTAATTGGGTTTATTTTATTGCAGCATTAGTTTAACTTTGTATCTAGACCTGAAGATGCTTTGCAAATTGTAGAAAGCGAAACCGGTCGTCAGATTGTTAAAATAAATTGATTGTGAGTAGGTCTTATTATTATTTCTTTACCTATTTTTATTTTAAATAGATCGCTTCCCAATTTACACGTAACCTATAGGTTTAATATTTTCTCATGCTTGCGATTTTCAAATATTTAATTTATGAGACGATTCACCAAATCTCAAACTAGAAATCCTTCCTGGCTTTATGAAGTTGAAGAAATAAGGCAATAAAACAAGAAGGTTTAAGATACAATAATTGTTTAATTTAACAAACTTTGGTTATACGTAAGGTGTTTTAATAATGATCACGTAGCTGTGTACCATTGAAAGCAAATTATTTATAGTTGCTGCTGGACATATATTCACAAATATATAGTGGCATTTTCTAGCCATTTAAATTACGAGATAAAAGTAGAATGCGACCACTCTCCGTTCTCAATACCTATCAATAAAACAAAAAAGTCGATTTCACAATGCCATCTCTGCAAAGAATGAAGATAAAAACAATAAAAACCGCACACCAGTCACTCCAAAATAATAATTTAACAGATACAATCTGTAAAAAAACAATAACGCGACCAAATAGGTAAAGATATCACATGAAATAATAAAAGAATCTCGTAGAGTGAGGAGAAAAAAGTGTTCGATCCATAATGATAGCGGTAAGACCTCATCTGTAACGATTTCTCTTACCTATATGTCGATATCAGCCTATAATAGTAAATATTGGTGCGGTGTCCATTGATCGTTACGGTTGCACTCTCGCAATTGGGTCAAGATTCTTGACAAGAATCAGTGCCGGGATCGTAAAAGTTAATGCTTGCATATAATTCTTTAAATAATGGATGGATTGGTTTTGTTGTGTCGCGCATTTAAAGCTATCACGTAATAAGATATTGTTTTATACATTTTTATGAATTGTAAGTCGATGTTTAAATTTGCTTAAATTAAGTACTGTCTGTGTTATCTTCCTTGTACACCTAAAGGGTTCGGAATAGTATCCTATTATATAGCTACCAAACTTTGGCATAGTACAAGAAACATATTTTTAATTTTATTTTTTAAATTAATTATACAAAAAATATTACAGCTATATATCTTCAAGATTATTACAGTTTAGCAATTGTATCTCAGTACTTCACATTATAGATATGTTTTTTTATATTTAACAAGAAGTTAACTGGAAGAAATTAGGTTCGTTCTTCTCTTTCCTAGTTTTTGGGACCTGCTTTATGATATTTCTGCAGTTGCTTCTCATTATGTCATTCAGATCTTAGCATCATTGCTTATCATCTCTGTCATTTTAATTTCTTCTCTGAAAGAGATTTTTTGCTGCATTAAAGTTTCCTACAAACATCGTTTCGTTTTAATGAACGCTTCATTTTTTCGTCTTTAAGTTTACAACAATCATATCTATATCCTTGTTATTGGGTTTTTCTTTTTCAACAGATGTTCTAGTATGTACAGTTCTGAAACTTCTTCCAACATTCCTTATGTGTTTGCTTTCTTCTGCATCCACGCTGTTCTAAGCGTACTTCGAATATACTACATTTTAAAAATCTGCAATTTATGTATTCTTTCAAGTGTCTAGATTTAATTCTATATTGTTGAATCAAAAACATTTAACATCTCAGAATTAAGGTAGCATCTAAGGTATTTATTGCAGAGAATTGTTTTCATTTATACAAATTCATTCGTTGCTATTTCTATAATGAATCATTTCTGCTTTTTGAATATTGTTGTTTGAAATTCAGGTTCCCAGTTGTTTGTATGTGTTTGTGTTATTTTCTGTCATATATTTAGTCTTTTTTATATTCATATTTATTCAACATAAAGTCTTCCCTATTAACTACATTATATTATTACATAACATTGTTTACCAATTTTGCTAAAAAAAACTAATTTATATTTAAAAACAAATAATTTAAAATTTAAAATAAAATAAGTCCTAGGTGTTATTGTTAAAAATTTTATTCTACGATAGTTTGTATGGAATTACAAAAACCGAAAATATCCCTCTGCGTAAGTCAGTGAAAACAAAATTGTTCTAACTTGTTTATATTTCTAGAGTTTTCGGAAAATATAATAACCAAGTGATAGTTCTTTATATACTAATGAATAATCAGTGAAGAGAAAAAATTTAATTTAAGAATACAATCGCTGCCAATATACACCCTATTAATTCAATAAAAATGAATGTTGGAATATTGCAGCAGCTTCTTAATATGTCTAAATCATCAAGTTTTTGTTGTTTACGTAATCTTGGCTCCATAGTATCATAAATCGTTTGGTTAAGGTTAATGCGCCCTGGGATTTCTTTTGTAAGTTGACAAATAAAACCGCCGATGACAGTGTTTTCTGAACTTCCATCGTAAACTTGATCAAGACAGTAACTGTAATAAAATATATTTGTTTAAATATGTTTTTATGTTACCAAACAATACTCTAGCTTACCACTTACACTTTTGTGAAAACCACTCAACAATGTATCGAGTATACACAATAGTTAAAGAAATTGGTATGTATCCGATATAAGATACGCTAACAACATAGCGGTGTTAACAGAAAGCGCAGAAAATCTCTCTAACTTCTACAAAACAACCTAACCAGAGGAGGTGAAGATCTCGGCCTGAAAATGAACTCACTACAGCTAAAATCGTTGTCCATTGCCGAAACCACAAAATACTCACTTAAATAATTACTTCACAAAAAAAGTTTTTAGAAGGATGACCACAAGCAGAAAACTGCTAGCATTAATCAAGATCAGAAATATAACATATCTAGGACATATTATGTCTCGGCACAAGAGATATAAGCATCTAAATCTAATCATAGTAGAAAAAATAGAGGGCCTTAGAGGACCTGACTGTAGTACATCCGTGATTGGACGTTACTTAATTCATATACACTTCTAAGAACACCACAAAACCGCATGGAGTTTACCAAAATTGTGACGAGTATTCACTAATATGAAAGGTACTCTTGAAGAATAATAAAATTTCAAAAAGTCTTATATCGTAATATCGGAATATCGTAAAACCGTATTAGACATCACCCAGACTAAATAGTAAATTACTTCTGCACATAGTCATATTGAAGTCTTCTTGAAAGGTTTGTTTTTAAAATGATTGAATATTAATGTATTTAAGGAAACCCATGAGAAAAGTTTTGAGATCGACTTTTAGCGATCGTGAGATAAAAAACAAAACTTATGTTAAAAGCCAAATATCTAGCAAGGCAATTTAAACCTCAGACACACATCATCAAAGATAATTGTGGAAATACCATAACAAACCTAGAGGGTATCGTAGCGGTGTGGAAACACTATTGCAAAATAATATTCTCTAGAATATTATCCAGAGAATAATAGAGAGAAAAGAAATTATGACAAAGAACCACAAATACTGCTACCAATAAAGAAGGTTCATCCACAGATTACAACAAACTACTCCTCATCATCATTAATGAAAGACTAAAATCAAAAATGTATAAATATTAGCCCAGATTTCCCAAGAAAAATGCGGATTCTTCCCAGGTAGGGAAACAAGAGGACATATTCCTAATATTCGCCAAAGTATAGAAAAATCCCGAGAGTTTAATATAGAAACATTTGTGTTTTTTTTTACTTCTCCAAGGCCTTCGCCAATTTTGCATTATATATTAAGTTAAAAACTTTTGTCTTGTTTGTTATTTTTTAACAGTATAAAATTATTATTTTCTTTCCATTGCTGATGACCTTGTGGTATCATTTACTATTTAGTCTATTTAAAGCTCTTCTTTTTTGGGTCCTTGGGATTCTTAAACCGAATTTTCGCTCCCAAATAACTATAGTTTTCACATCCTCTTATTCTGTCATTTTCGTTTTAGCCTAAACAGGTTTCTTTTCTCTTCACTTAAACTGCTTTTTCGTATAATTCTTCTCTAAAATGTATAATTATTCAAAAACAGAGATGTTTGATTCACCTGTTTTTTAATGGTACACGCTAGTTCTGAGTAATATCGAGTCGCAAGGCTTCATCTATTGTTTGAATCATCGATTCACTACATCATTCATAATAAAGTTTTGTCTGCGTGGCCCGCCAGGCTATCTGACTGACCTTTTTTTCTTTTAGTAAAGGATTTATCTTCAATTACAGTATGTCCAGAAATAGTATTTAAATTAGTTAAAGAAATATTAATATTAACTTACTCAGTGATATTATAAGAGTTTCCTTGTATTGTACCCTGAAAAGTCATAAGTGACCCATCTTCCTGTATATATAATGAACCTTCCAATCGTTCCATTTGCATTTTTTGCATGAAATCATTATCAGAGCATTTAAAATTCTTTTTTAATACATAATATTGTGGTTGCTTTTCAATTTTATGATTCTCTGCGTAAAATGTTGGTTTAAAATTGGTAAATGCGGGATCAACGACGCATAGTTTATCACGTATGTTATAATAAAATCCTTTAGGACAACATTTTTGTATGCATATTTTTTCTGTACAGGGATTAACAAAAGTGACCAGATGTCTAAAAAAGAAAAATTTCTATTTAGTTTGCAAAACATTGATTTTAAAATATTTAAAAGTTTCATACAAACGAGTTCGTAAATATGCGCAAGTATAGTATTAACAAGTATAGCAGAATGTAGAATTTGTTAGTTTTGACAGTTCCGCTTTAAACTATAGTGCGGTGGATGTTTTTTTTTCTGGTAAATAAATTTGTAATTAAAAAAATTACTTTTTAACTTAGGTAAAAAAATTTTGATCAGATAGCAGACCAAAGTAACAAGACTAACGAAATAACCAAAAGAGTAAGAATGGGATGGGCCGCATTCGGAAAACTCACATATACTATTAAAAACCAAAAAACACCTTCAAAATTAAGAACGAAGGTATGTAATGCATGCGTGCTACCTGTTCTGACATATGGTGCCCAGACGTGGACGTGTACAACTAAGTTGCACAAAAAGTGCAACTTAGATAGAATAAAGAAAACTCAAAGAGCTATGGAAAGACACATGTTGGGAATATCGTTGAGAGACAAAAAGACGAACGAGTGGATAAGATGCAAAACCGAAACAACAGACGCTGTGGAACATGCATTGGAATTAAAATGGAAATGGGCTGGGCATAACGAAAGATATCAGGATGGAAGAGGGAATAAAAAAATTAGCCGCTGGAGACTACATACTGCAAAAAGGTCAACAGATCGACTGCAAATGAGATTGAAAGATGACATTGAACAAAGCGCAGGTCCAATGTGGAAAATACAAACAGAAGACAGAGACAAATGAAGACAAACGGGAGAGGCCTATATTCAACACATGAATAAATTTTGGGCTATAGATAGATAGATAGATAGATATTTTGGTTTTGTTTTATACTATATTTATTTCTGGTTACTTACCTTCCCGATGAAAGTAGATCTACACAATAGGATTGTGGAGAAAAAGAGGTCACCAACCGCGTCTTGTTAATATCGATGAACTCATTTAAAAAGAGTTCTTTTTGATTAAAGGCATAACGGTGATTTCTATTTGAGGAGGACCAAATCAGGGCTGAAACGATTTTAGAAGATTAAACACTGCAAAAATCAACAACATAATTTCTAGCATAAAATATATTTTATACTGAAAAATATGTTTTATTTATAACTAGAAAAATCCTAAAAGAATAGTTTTACTTTTCTGTGGACGTTAATTTACAGTCATATATTTTATAAATATGACAAGGAGCTGATATACATACTTTTACTTTTCTGCAACATTGTTGTGTTTAATTCATATGTTGTTTTATTATTCTATTCGGTGTCATAAAAAATATTTATTTTAAATGAATAATGTTACTAATCAATTCAAAGTTTCATTCTTGATCAATCCTAATTAATTTTTTAATTTTTTTTTCTATTCTCATGTTCTTTCTATGATGTCTATCTACTATGTCTATTTTCGATCATTATAACTATTTTTACTTTATTTACCTCAGCTTGAAAGGGATAAAAAATCACCAAATGTAAATATAGCGGTCTGTAGGCTGGCGTGGTAGTATATTAAGGGGAAATATAGTACATGACTTGTATATGTGTATATCCAACAAATGAACATACATGTTGCTATCCTGCATAGATTAGTCACTTCCGCTAACTATATTGATAGATATGTTTACTGCAGTAATGTTATGAATATTAGAAAGAAAAAAAATTCGTGTTAACAATTGGTACGTGTCATGTGCACTTGCATGCAACCTAAATTATTTAATCGCTTTAATTTGTCAAACATTTACTTAATACTGTTCTGAAGCTATTTTCTTGTGACATCTAAATGCAATTACTGAATGTTGAAAACATTTCAATTTTGTATTTTGAGAACGATTTTCGAAGTGAGAATCGAAACGTCAAAAATAAACTTATTTTTAGTAAAAATATTTTTCTTTCTTTCTATAAATATATATATATATATATATATATATATATATATAGAAAATTAAAAAAAAGTCTCATAAAAAATAAAGAAAATTTTACTAAAATAAGTAATTAATATTTATTCAAAAAAATGGTTTCTTAGGTGGATCCTTCAACGATATAACTTATCGGTTCGACAATACTTACCTTTCATATTCACAGGTTAATAAACAAATGACCCTCTTATATTTTTCAGCATGACTCGTGTTAACGATCTCGTAATATATTATATCTGTAATCTTTAATCGTGAGTTTTTCTAAATTTTGTTTTTAATGTCATTAAAATGGCCAAAACTGTTGTTCCGTTTTAGTGGCCAAAATTCAATTTTAAAACGTAACATTTTATTGGGAAAAGCCATAAAAAGGATAGGAGTATATGCAGTCCTACGATCTTGTTGACACGCCAATGGCGGATACACGGGGCGAGAGAAATGGGGAAATTACCCCACCCAACAAGGTCCCAAAATAAAGAAAAAAAATGTTGAAACTAAATTACTAAAAACATATAAGTTGACACGGAACTTAGCCACAGACAGACAAATTCAACCCAACAAACCTGTTAGTTAGAAATATTAAGGGAACTTATGGGTATGGTTTAACTGGTTAATTCGGAGTAGCCCGGTAACCGCCATTGATAACGAAGTAAAGCAGCGGTGTTGCCGATATAAAAGATCTATCTGACAGTTCCATTTGAGAATATAACATTTAGTATCATGTAAATCTCATATGTTCATAGTAGCATACGGTATCATTAAAAGAAGCACAGTATATAATGATAAGTATGTGATTTTTTTTCTTACCAAATGCGTCTTCATTTCGTAGGTGCAAAATATAATTATATTTCAGATTTACTAAATTCTGATTTAAGTAATTTCGTTCAATTGATACATTTTCAAAATTATTAGAAATCTTGTTTAGAAGTTCTCCTGATGAAATATGTTCATCTCCATCTTGACACTCATAGTTCTGGTTCAAGTACTCTTTTTCTGCACAGCATTTATTTAAAGTAACCATATTTGCTGTTGGTATTGTATTTGGAATATTAGGTTTAGTTATACCATTACTATAATCAATGTTGCTTATTGTATTCCGGTTTGTCGTCAATAGTTCATCCTTTAACTGATAATCGTTAGATGCGATTCTTTTCACTCGTATTTTATTTTCTCTTGATATGACATTTTTCGATAAGTGAGGTAACGATGTAATATATGTATATGTGGAAAGCGATATAACGTAAAAACTTACAAATAGCAATAAAAATATTGCAGATGTACGCGTGAAAGTACTCATTTTATAAATGTCAAATATTACTATTGACAAGTTTAAAATAAAATACATAGATATCTGTCAATAATAAAAAATTAAATCAACCTTAGCAGGTGTCAATGCTTCCGATGAATTTTGATTTACGTAAACAAAAAATTAAAAAGTTGCCGAAACCCGGGATCGAACCAGGGACCTTTAGATCTTCAGTCTAACGCTCTCCCAACTGAGCTATTTCGGCTGATGTTACCGTGAACCTGTAGATGTATGTAGTTTGTAGGATGATTCTTGAATCTATTTTCTGGTAGATTTCCGGGCATTCTACGTCTATATTCTTTGATTCTACTATCATTAGTGACGGGTAACTCTATAAGATATTACTCTCAATAAAACACAAGTTTAATCTAGATAAAAATATATTCAAATAAATAACAAAAAATGTATCTAATCCTCATTAAATTCTGAGCCTAAAAATAATGTAGACAGTAATGTAATGATGGACCGTTTCATTTAGTGCTAATTTGACAAGTAAAAGCTAAAATAAGATCTTCAAATAATATATAAAATTAAACGAATTAACTAAAATAAAAGTACTTTGATTAAATAAGAGACAAATATCGAGCGCAGTTTAATTAATTTAATCTTGCCCAAGTACTTTCGATCCCTATATCATCTTCAGGGGCATTTCGTCAATTGCGGCCTATCCGCTAAGAATAAACTGTTATAAACATAAAATGGTACATCACACTACACTACACAAGGACAAACAAACACCTTAAAATTTTTTAAAAATACGCGAAGTTACATTGTGTACAGAAGCCGGAGACAGAATGGCTGACGGTTAAAAATAAAAGTGTCAACAAATTTATATTAAATAATATAGGATCAATGTTCAAAAACAGTTGTAAGGTTAATACTTAAAAAGCACTAATATAAGAATTAACATTAACCAATGGAATTAATAAAATTAAGATATAGTTTAACAAATTTTTACTTAGTTTATCCCTAAATTTTATTCTTCTTCAAAAGCCGACCCTGCTTAGTTGGACAAATATTATCAGCCGAAATAGCTCAGTTGGGAGAGCGTTAGACTGAAGATCTAAAGGTCCCTGGTTCGATCCCTGGTTTCGGCAAATCTTTTAGTTATGATCTCTATACTGTTTCCAGTATTTATACAACTTAATTCAACAAAAAAATCAGAAAATGTATCTAATTTTCATTAAATTCTCAGCTTAAAGATAATGTAGACAAAAATGTAATAATAGGTCGTTTGATTTAGTTCTTTTTTTGACAGGTAAAATAAGATCCTGACAGTATATCTAAAACTAAACAAATTATCTAAAATAAAAGCGTCAACAAATTATATTAAATATTATAGGATCAATGTTCAATACTAATAGCAAAACAGATCCACTAAACACAGTTGAAAGTATGGTTTTAACACTTAAAAAGCACTAATATAAGATTTAACATTAACCAATGGAATTAATAAGATTAAAATATAGTTTAACAAATTTTTACTTAGTTAATCCCTAAAATTTTATATTTCTTCAAGAGCCGACCCTGCTTAGTTGGATAAATATTATCAGCCGAAATAGCTCAGTTGGGAGAGCGTTAGACTGAAGATCTAAAGGTCCCTGGTTCGATCCCTGGTTTCGGCAAATCTTTTAGATCTCTATGTTGTTTCCAGTATGTATAAAACTTAACTCAAAAGAAAATTCAGAAAATTTATCTAATCTTCATTACATTCTCAGCCTAAAGATAATGTAGACAGGAGTGTAATAATGGACCGTTTCATTTAGTTCTTTTTTTGACAGATAAAATAAGATCCTAGCATTATATATCAAACTAAACAAATTATCTAAAATAAAAGCGTCAGAAAATTTATAATAAATATTATACGATCAATGTTCAATACTAATAGCAAAACAGATCCACTAAACACAGTTGAAAGTATGGTTTTAATACTTAAAAAGCACTAATATAAGAATTAACATTAACCAATGGAATCAATAAGATTAAGATATAGTTTAACAAATTTTTAATTAGTTGATCCCTAAAATTTTATATTTCTTCAAAAGCCGACCCTGCTTAGTTGGATAAATATTATCAGCCGAAATAGCTCAGTTGGGAGAGCGTTAGACTGAAGATCTAAAGGTCCCTGGTTCGATCCCTGGTTTCGGCATTTCTTTTAGATCTCTATGCTGTTTCCAGTATGTATACAACTCAAAAGAAAATTCAGAAGATGTATCTAATTTTTATTAAATTCTCAGCCTAAAGATAATGTAGACAGGAATGTAATAATGGACCGTTTCATTTAGTTCTTTTTTTGACAGATAAAATAAGATCCTGACATTGTATATCAAACTAAACAAATTATCTATAATAAAAGCGTCAGAAAATTTATAATAAATATTATAGGATCAATGTTCAATACTATTAGCAAAACAGATTAACTAAAAACAGTTGTAGGTATGGTTTTAATAATTAAAAAGCACTGATATACGAATTAGCATTAACAAATGTAATTAATAAGATTAATATTTAGTTTAACAAACTTTTACTTACATGATCCCTAAAATTTTATATTTCTTCAAGAGCCGACCCTGCTTAGTTGGACAAATTATTATCAGCCGAAATAGCTCAGTTGGGAGAGCGTTAGACTGAAGATCTAAAGGTCCCTGGTTCGATCCCTGGTTTCGGCAAATCTTTTAGTTATGATCTCGATACTGTTTCCAGTATATGTACATATAACTTAACTTGAAACTACATACAATCTACAGAGTAAAGTTAGAAAATATATCTAATCCTCATTAAAGCTCAGCCTAAAAATAATAGAGACCTTAATGTAATGATGAACCGTTTTCTTTCTTCCGGAGTATTTTTTTTGACTGGTAAAAATCTAAATAATTTTAAAAAGTACATATAAAACTAAACAAATTAACTAATCCAAAAGCATCTAATGTAATTAATTAAGTATATGATCAATATTCAAAAATACTAGCAAAATCATCACCAGTGGCATTACAGCTCGTTATTAGCCAAATCCTTCTTCAGAACAGTCTTTCATTTGCCCCTGTCTCTGGCAACTCTTCTCCATGCTTTAACTTCGATGGATTTTAGATCATCCTCTATGCTAGGTTGATACCTAAGTTTTGGTCTTCCTTTGGCTCGTCTTTCCACTGGTCCTCTTCGGTCGAACATTTTTCTGATCGTTACATCTTCATGTCACCTTATTACATGTCCTATCCATCGAAGGTGTGCTAATTTAATACATTTTACAACGTCAGGTTCCCCAAAACTTCAGTATAACTCAAAGTTGTAGCGCCGACGCCACAAACCCTGTTCTTGGACTCCTCCATATATTTTTTTTAGAATTTTTCTCTTCTTTTAACCAATTCTTGGTCGTTCTGTGTAAGTGACCTCGTTTCTCACCCGTATGTTAACACTGGTCTTATTAGTGTTTTATATATGGTAACTTTAATTTTTCTGGGTAGTTTTGGGGCCACCTGTTTCCTCGAGCCATAATAGCACTTAATGGCAAGCACTATTCTTCTTTGAATTTCTTCGCTGACACCTTTGTCTTTAGTCAACAGCGAGCCCAGGTAGACAAAGGTGTCCACACCTTCCAGTTCCAGATCATCATTTAATAGTCTAGGTATCTGGTTGCCTGATCTAGTACAATACATATACTTGGTTTTCTGTGCGTTTATTTTTAATCCCATTCTTAGTGCAGACGCCCTTAATGATTCTCTAATTTCTTCTTGGGTGGGGGGCGACTCTTGAGCGTTTTCATCCATTTCAGGCAAAGTCTTTTCTATTTGCCCTTCTTCACGACTGTCGCTAAGCAGTTCTTTAAAATGATTCGCCCACCTGTTTAGTATTTTGCTTTGTCACTAATTATGGAATCATCTCTGTCTTTACATGCTGTTATTCTGGGTTTGAATTCTTTTCTGCAGCTGTTTATCTTCTGGTAGAATTTTCGCGAGTATTTTTATAGTGGTGGTTAACAATCGCGTTTAGAGCGTATTCGTATGGCTCTTTCTTCTTCCTTCTAAACGTCCTTTTTTCTTCTCTTCGTTCGTTAATGGATCTACATTCTTCATCAAACCAATCTTTGTTTATTTTAGCCTGGTTATGTTTTTAGAAGCCTTTAGCCGCTGTATGGATAGCTTCCTTGCATTTAGTCCAGTGTTTTTTGTACTTAAATTTTCGTCGATTATTGTCGGCTTGTCATTTAGAATTTTTCTGTAGTTATCCCTAGCATCTTCAGATTTTAGCACATTAGTATTATATTTCGTAGATTTTGTGCTCTGGCCCTTTTTAGCGTTTGATATAAGAGCCCTGAGTTTTGTTCTTACAAGGTAGTGGTCAGAGTCTATATAAGCACATCTACATCCTCCTACGTCTAGTTACATCTAGTACGTCCGAGAAATGTCGATTATCAATCAGTTCATGGTCAATTTGGTTTTTTCTTTGACCGTCTGGTGATTGCCATGTGGCAGTTTTCGGTTTTCTAAATAGAAGTATTCTGGAGATATTTAAAAAAACTAATTACAAGGCCATCTCTAAAGAGCTCTAGCTCCCGTATGAGGAATTTTCCTTTAGGAAAAATCTTCGTTCTTCGTTTGTCGGGAGAGTTTCTGGACAACCTGTATATATGGTATATTTGATATATCATATCATATGCTATGAGATCATATTATTATCAGCCGAAATAGTTCAGTTCAGAGCGTTAAGCTGAAGATCTAAAGGTCCCTGGTTGGATCCCGGGATATAATAAATGTATTAGAACTTCCAAGTTTTACTACACTCTACTAAACACTACTGGTTTATATTTAACCATTGTATTCCATAACGTTGTCACAAGGTATAACAAACTCAGGAAATTTTAAATATAGCTGTGATCTGTAACAGATATTTTTAAATTAAAAAATACAAAAGTTATTTTTTGACTAGTTAAAATCCTAACAGGAAATCATAATACATAATACGAGTACAATGTTAACAATGTTAATGTAATACTGAAAAATACTACAAACTGCATCTGGATTACATTCTTTCCAAAAAAACGAAGACCAGAATAGAAAGATTTATTTTCTATCATGTTTAAAATTTATATAAAATTATTATTCAGTTTTACCAGTAAGCAGATTTTACGCTTTTCATATTTATCTAATATTTACTGATTTCTAATCTTCAGTTTTATTACATACTGATCTTAAATATTTTATAATATAAAAAAGAAGCCTTAGGCCGCTCCTGTTTAAATCACCGACATGATAATATGAGATCATCCCACTATCAGCCGAAATAGCTCAGTTGGGAGAGCGTTAGACTGAAGATCTAAAGGTCCCTGGTTCGATCCCTGGTTTCGGCATTCTTTTTGTTAAAAGAGAAAAAATGTGTAAATTTATTGTTCATTAAATACACTGTAATTTAAATTCACGTCATGAACGTGACTTTTTTACATAGAGTTACCGTACCATTGGTATTAGTAGATAATTAATGAAGTATGAAATTTATTGATAAAGGTATTTCATTTATTACATTTTAAAATAAAAGAATACATGATTATAATTCGAAAAATAGTAATGTACAGTTCAATATTAAATAGCAAAACAATAGCTGTATTTTCGACTTTTGAGCGGCATGGTAGCCACTAAGTACAAGGTGAATGAAACTCATAATTTTTTTATAAGTACATAATGGAATTACGTATTTCTACGGGTCGGTGTCGGTAACAACATAGTCATCACGCTGGATGACGTGACATTAATGGTTTGACATTGTCAATACAAAATTTGGTTAGGCCTATATTTTCAACAAACTTTTATATCCACAAGTATTTTATCTCATTGTTAACATTGTGTAAATAAGTGATCTACATTTAACCATTTTATTCCATAAAGTTGTCACAAAGTATAACAAACTCAGTTAAATTTATAAATATCATCTGTAACAGGTCATTTTATGCCACAATGTAATAATTTAAAAATCTTCAGTTTTATCTTCAGTTTTATTACATACTGATCTTAAATATTTTATAATATAAAAAAAAGCCTTATGCCGCTCCTGTTTAAATCACCGACATGATAATATGAGATCATCCCACTATCAGCCGAAATAGCTCAGTTGGGAGAGCGTTAGACTGAAGATCTAAAGGTCCCTGGTTCGATCCCTGGTTTCGGCACTCTTTTTATTTTCAAAAGAGATTGATTGGACAATTTTTAATGAATTATGCATTACTTCTGTTATATAAAAGAAGAGATCTGAAGCTCATTTTCACCATTTATTACTAACAAGCTAAGTTTTCGTAGAACCAGGATAACGTACTGCAATTTGTAGGAAAATGTGTTTGTTAAATTATATAAATATTAACTAAGCAACAGAAAAAAAACAGGTGATTAGTAATTTTTCATGATCTGGTTAATGATACATGTTGGAAAGAAGGGGAACTCTTTAATAAAAATTCAGTAATAAGCAGACGTAAAATTGTATTCACTCACATAAGAATAAGACACTAAAAAAGTATTCACTTCTACCGGCACTCTCCACACCTCTTTTTTTGTCTCGTCTCAAATCATTAGAAATATTCACTCAATATAACTGCTTGAAATTGGCTAAAAAAAATTGTCTCATCGGTGGTTCAGTGGTAGAATGCTCGCCTGCCACGCAGGCGGCCCGGGTTCGATTCCCGGCCGATGCACACTTTTTTTTCAATTTGTTCAAATTTATTTTATTTGATTTTTACATTTCTACAAATTATGAGTATTTTAAATGTTTCTGGTCCTGATTTTACTTTTTTATCTTTAATATTTTGAAGTTGTACGCATCAGCACGGTTCTAAAGGCAATAAAAGATTAACTATTAAATTTACAGAAAAACGCTCCGACATAAATCGATTCAACAGGCATGAGTGAAGTAACCGTGAACGGGAATGAAAAACCACTAACGAGCACATCCCTAATTGTTAGATAAAACATTAAAATGTTTTTAAGTAGTATTCATATCTTAACCTTTTAATGGTAATAATATTTTCTTATACATTAGATTTTAAGAGATAATTTGGTAAAGGGATTATTCTGCACAGTGTCCTACATAAAGTATTTCCAATTTTTTTTTTACTTCGCCATTTCTATATTATATCATCTTTTTCTGACTCTTTATTATTATTTCTTTCTACTCAATCAATAATTTCAATACATTAATATAAATTCAATAGTTTACTGATAATTTAATAGTGATATTTTGGACCGACATTAACAGGAGAATAGTGACAATACATGAGGATGTTTATGTTTAGAATTTAATATATTGTTGTTTTCAAACTTCAACCTCCCGCAGTTTTCAACCATAATGCCGTGTCATATTTGCCGATGCTTCATTTGTTTTTTATAAATACAAATTCTCTAGTCCACCTGTCAGAATTGATAGTCTTACCATTGTTCATTTATTTTCGGGGGTGTTAACACGAAATATGTGTCAAGATTAAAGGAAATTAAAATATAAATCAGTCGTTCGGTATGATGAATTGACTGCGTTTGTGATTAATGATTTTTTATTGAGATCGGGTATACCAGTTTGGTGCATTTACCATAGTAGAAATCATTTAATCGTTTCCAGTATTGATAAAAATCAAAATAATAGTTATATGGATATATTTAAGTTATAGAACGAAAGCTTCGATAAAATAAAAGTGTTGAAAACAAACGCATTTTAGTGCAAATAAAAGAAAAAGAAAAGAATAAATTTTATAGCAAAAAATAGTGAACTGAGTTTATAAGTCTAATTTATTAACTTTATTTATTATAAATAAAATGTTCTAACACTTAGTTTATTAAAGTTTATATACAATATTACACTAATTTATTTTACACTATAATTATATAATTATTTACAACATTTATTACAATTTATATTCCCGACAATAATTAAAACTCGATATATTATATTCAAACTAAAAACTGTTTACAATAAAATTTCCTTCATGTATACTAAATATCCATTATTCCGAAGTTCCCTCGAACCTGATGGTGGCCTTCCTGAATGTTCTCGATCGCCGTCGACCCAGACAGGTTTTTTATCGTAGGGGGACCTACTAGAAAATTACTTAGGAATAATATGTTTACAGTTAGGCATGGGTCATATTTATCTTAACATAGCCCCCCTCTTAAAAGATGGTTTCTCCTGGAACCATGTCGGGACTAGAACTAGAACGGTATGCTGGTATCGGCAACTGGGCACTCTTTTACAACTTTCAGTTGTATAAAAATGACAAGGGACGGTTTCTCTCTGCACCAGTAACTATGCGGATTGCAACAGACTAACACCTGGACTTCGGTGTCTTTAAAGATCTCCTCCACCATACTTCGGATAACCCTCCAATCTAATTGGCGGCACTCCAACTTTGGTTTGGCTAACTTTTGCACGTCGGGCTCTAGTAAGTGCCCTCAATTGAAGTGAGGCTTCCCATACATCTCGGTAGGTAGGTTGGTCACAGTCAGTGTCTTTTGTTACCAGGTAGAAAAGGTTACGTAATGCATCTTGGAGTTTCAAGGTTTTCCCGGGAGCTGGTACTTGGCATTGAAGTTCTGCAACTCAACCAAACTGCCTTCGAAAGACGAATGCCAATCCTGATGCGTCTTTGATACTGGCCGGGATAGGAAGGGCCAGTCAGTACTTTACCAGTACCTAAATAGGTCCCCATGAATTCCTCAAACGTGAGGTCAGACACATCTTGCCAAGGTGGTCGACGGTTTTCCTCTTTCCATTTTAGAATTTTCTGTACAACTGGATCTCTCTCTTGTTCTTCCCTTATCTTGGTAGGCGTCCAGTCGTCGTTCTGACCATCGTTGTTCTTAGCACTGCTGCTTCCTTGGATTCCGTTTTGTTGCAGTGGGAACACTCTTCTGGGCACGGCCTTCTGAAAAGAGAATCAGCTTTTCTGTGGCTAACTCCGGCCCGGCGCTCTATCTGATCCTCTGGATTCTTAAACTGCATCAACCAGTTAAGGGCGGCATGGTCGGTTCGGATTAAAAACTTCCTTTCATAGAGGTATTGATAGAAGTGTGCTACTGATTTCACTATTGCTAGAAGTTCTCTTCTCGTGACGCAATAATTCTGCTCATGTTTTGAGAGAACTTTACTAAAATATTCAAGGATTCTTTCCTGTCTTCCTCCAATTTCCACATTACTTGCATCTGTATCTAAGATAAACTCTCCTTCTGGCAGTGGATACCCTAAAAAATTTTATATAGAAATTTTTTTTCGCACAAAAACGATTGCTTCCTACGTAGAAAACAGTCGATTTTAACCAGTTAGTAAATAAATTAAAAATAATTTGTAGTATTTTATCTCATTGGTATAAACGCCAATGACCTCAAACCAGCATATCTTAATGTAATATATTACTAAAAATGTTTCTAATGAATCCGTAGACTTAAAAAATATAAACCTTAAAAAAACCTTTCCCGATGATAGAAAAATGAGGAAAAATTTAATTATTATCAAAATATACAAATATATCTCAAATAACTAAAACATCCTGTGAAAAGCTGAAAAGAATTAGTGCTATACTTACTTCTTCTCTTTTTCTTTTGCTTACTTGCTTGATACTTAAATTCAATACCTATCTTCAGAAAATCGTTTAAAGAGATTCTAAACATTAAACAGCGAAACCGGACTTACATTTTTCTGTAGATCAATAATTCATACGTTAATGTAATGAATCAAAAATAATACTTAAAATATTCTTTATTGCAGACCAGCGACCTGGACACGTTCCTGTGTAAGCAGGACTGGGAGCGACCGCTGGATGAAGAGTTGGAGAAGCCACGGCGGGATTCTGTACCTCAAATCGATGATTTCTTCGAAGCCACACACCACAATAATAACAACAATACTCCAAATAACAACACTAGGCATCAGGCGATGAGTTACGTGTCCATGAGGTCACTTCCAGGTAAAATGAAACAAATAGTATTCAGTAAATTTATTTTTATGTTTATTTTAATTTTCTTAATGTATAGGTAGATCAAAATTTAGTTCAATTGGGTATTATTGCTTTCAATTTTATAAACTATTTTCTTCGATTGATTTTGTGTATTCTCACAATATAATAAAATAGTGAAAAACTGGGACCGTCATCAACGTTATCAAAAGAATATGGAGGACAATAACAAAAAATATAACAATAATAGAAACACTTGTGAAAAGTAATAGTTTTAAGTACCTAGGATCGGTAGTACAGAGTAATGGGGAAATGGATGAAGATGCGTGCAGTAGAATTGGGAGTATTATGAAGATAACTAAAAGTTAGAAGACCAAAAAAGACTTGAGGGGGGGGGGGAACTTGGACAGAAATGTCGGTGAATGGAAGTTGATATTGGCATGACCAAAGATAGAAACTTTTGAAGAAATGTAATTAGGGAAGCCGACCCCGTAATTAGGGATAAAAGCAAAGAGAATGATTATATATATATATACATATATATATATATATACATATATATATATATACATATATATATATATATATACATATATATATATATATATATATATATATATATATATATATATATATATATATCATCATCATTCGATGATTGAGTCATTGACTTCTCGACGTTGAACATGATCCAACCTTCTTAACCTATGCTCCATCATTTTAGCCTCAATTAGTGCCACCCGTAGAATTTCGCTAATATACTCAATCTTAATTTTATCTTTGATTGTCACTCCACTGATCCATTAAGCATTCTAATTTCCGTAACATACATTCATTGTTACTTTTGCTTTTTAACTGCCCAACATTTAGTTCCGTACATCATTATGGCTGTTTTATAGAATTTTCCCTTCAGCCTCATTGGAATTTTTATCTCACATAATACACTACACGCTTTCTTCCACTTCGTCCATCCAATCCTAATTCTACTACATGTATCTCTATATATTTCCCTATTGCTGTGTAATACTGATTCTAGGTACTTAAAACTATTACTTTTTATTTGTCATCAAAACTTCATCTTTAAATGAACATTTCAAATATCTACTCTTTTTTAGTCTTACTAAGTTTTAAACCTTTTGATTTAAGAGCTTGTCTTAACTGTTCCAGTTTTTGTTCTAAATCTACTTTCTTTTGAGTGCCCACTACAGAATCTGTCAAGGAACAAGAATCATATGATTTTTCAAGATCAATTAATACCATATAAGTATTGGTTTATTTATTCCTGTATTTTTCCTTCAACTACCTTATAATGGAAATTGTCCGTTGTTGACTCACTTTGTATAATTCCGAATTGATAATCGGATATATCAGTTTCTTCATGTGTCGGTCACTCAATTACTCCCTCCCATATTTTCATCGTGTGACGAAATAGTTTTACGACAATGTAGATAAAACATTGTGTATATCTCCCTTGTGTTGTAAACAGGTAATATTCTCGGATACATCTAATCAAGTTGATCGTATGCTCGTATATGCTTTTGCTTTATTTTTTCTTGAGCTTCGTTTGACCACCTTCTTCTTCTTCTTATAGTGTCGTGCACCTATATTGCGTTGGCCAATCGTCTGTCTTTTGCGGCATGCAAAAGATCTCCAGTGTTATTTATGCCTGTCCAGTTCTTCATGTTTCGTAGCCACGACATTTGTTTGCGACCTACTCCTCTCTTGCCTTCAATCTTTCCGTAGATGATTAGTTAAGGGATTGTGTATTTTTTTTTCTCTTAGAGTATGACCGAGGTATCCAACTTTTCGTACCTTGATCAAATTGAGTAGTTCTCTCTCAGTATTTGCCTTTCTCATTTCTCACTCTATATGTCCATGTTATGCGGAACATTCTTCGCAACGTCCACATTTAGAAGGCCTCCAACTTATTAATGGAAGGTACTCTTAACGTCCATGTTTCCATGCCGTATAACAGTATGGACCATACATAGCATTTAACCATCCTGTAGCGGAGATTAAAGGAAAGATTGCGTTTACATAGTAGCGGTTTAAATTTGGTAAGCTTGTCTTGCTTGGTAAGGATCCCATTGGTCATTTATCATCATTCTTAAGTATTTAAACGTTTTCACTTGATCGATTGGAGCATTATCTACTTGCAGTTGTATTCTTAAAAGTGCGTTTTTTCTTATTGCCATGCATTTAGTTTTCCAGCATTTATCTTCAAGCCATATATTTTTCCTACGGTGTTAATTTTATTTAACATCAACTACATATCATGTTCGTTGTCTGTTATTATCGCGGTGTCGTCGGCGTAACGAATGTTATTTATCGGAAACCCGTTTACCCTTATTCCTCAATCAGCCTTCCAGTGCCTCTGCAAAAATGTTCTTCACATAGAGATTGAAGAGCATAGGAGACAAAATACACCCCTCTCGCACCCCTCTTAAAATTTCAAATTCTTCTGTGTGGTTTAATTTGTTCAGTCTCACTCGTGCTTTTTGATTCCAATAGAGATTCTGGATAACTCGTATATCTTTCTGGTCAATTTTAGCATTGTGTAGCATTTTTATCATTGCGTCATGTTTTACGGTGTCAAACGCTTTTTTATAATGTAGGAATGTTATGACTATATCCTTTCGTTGATCCATGCAGTTTTGTACAAGCGTATTCAAGCAGAAAGCTGCTTCACGTGTACCCAGTCCACTTTTGAAACCAAATTGTGTCTCACCGCTTAGATCTTCCAGCTTTCTGAACATTCTTGTCTTGAACATTATAAAGGTAGAATAAAGCCAATCCGTTGGAATGTAGCCGGTGTTATATATGGCATTGAAAATTGTTACCAGCATGTCGATGTTATCATCTTCCAACAGTTTTATGGCTTTCGTAGTAAATCCATCCGGTCCAGGGGTCTTCCCTAGTTTTGCTACTTTTATAGCGGACTCAATCTCGGCGCGAATAATGGGAGGGCCGGGTAAATTTTCCGTGTGTAAGTAGTTAGTAATTGGAAGATTCGGTCTATTGTCCGCAAAGAGGGACGAAGCATAGTCTGCCCAGATTTTAGCTAGTTCTTCCTGGGTATGAACGTAGTTTCCTTGATCATTCTTCAGGCGAGTCTATGTTATTTCTTGTATATACTCGAAATTTCTTTGACCTTTTTATGTAGTCCAAAGCTGTCTCCCTTTTCTTGTAGTGATTCCAATTCTTCACAACGTTCTTTCATCCAGCTTTCCTTTGCGATTTAAATTCTTGCCCTTATCGTCCGTTGGATTTCCTTAAATTCCTGTTGATTCTGGTGTATTTTATACTGTCTGCGTTGCTCCACTAGATCAAGTATCTCTTCCTTCATCCACTCGTTTTTGTGACTTCTTTTTATTTTACTTGCGACTACTTCGTCAGCCTCGACTATAGCTAGTTTTATTTTCTCACAGGTTTTCTCTATGCAATTTCCTTTTATGTTTCTCAAATTCTCGTTGATGTGCTTACTGTATGTAGATCTAAGCTCTTCATCTCTCATTAATTTTCTAGTGTTTATGTATTTTTGATTAGATGGCTTTTTAACCTTTGCCAATCGAAGTCTTACATTCGCGATTAGGGGGTTGTGATCAGACGAAATGTCCGCACCAGGGTAAGCGGCCACTCTTTTTATATAATTGCAGAATATTTTGTTTACCAAGATGTAATTAATTTGATCTCGTATCATATGACCTGGACGATCTTCTGGTGCTCGCCATGTATACATATCTTCTTGGTGGGAGTTGATACCACTTATTGGATATGACGAAATCGTGGTCATTACAAAATTCAATTAGTAAGTCTCCTCGCTCATTTTTGTTACCCAGACCGAAATCACCGACCGCATTACCACATCTACCCCTACCGACTTTGGCATTAAAATCGCCCATTATGATGTTGATACCGTTTTTCTTTGTGACTTTAATGCTTCCTTTATGTCTTTATAGAAATCTAAAACTTCAGTTTCCGGTTTATCAGATGTGGGTGCGTAAACTTGGATTAGATTTATATTAATAGGTTGACCAGATAACTTCGCTATGATTACTCTGTTTGAAACGGTTATGTAATCTATAACAGACATCGCAATTCTATTATCAAGCACTATTGCAACTCCATGCCTGTGGTAATTACCTGTGGCGTCGCTACCGGAATAGTACACTTTAAAGTTGTCTTTGTGAGAAATACGTGAGCCAGACCACCTTAATTCACTTACACCCATTGTTTTCACTTCTAGGCGCCACATTTCTTTGAGCAGGTTATGTACCTTTCCTGGGATGCGCAAACTATTGACGTTAGTTATAGTGGTTTGACCACCACTAGTTCTCTTTATTCCCAATCTTCTTTTTAGGCGTTTTCTTAAGTATTTCAATAGTAGTATCTCTAATAATATTGACCATCTCCTCCAAATTATATTAGGACTTCCTTTCATGTTGCAACTTGTAAGAACATGTGTACTGTAAGTTGTGTAAATGAAAGCAAGAGGAAAGTAATAAAGACAATAATGAATAATGAAAATTAATTAAAAACTAACAAAGATGAAATCTTAAAATATAAAAAGATTATTAGGTAGATAACTTTAATGAAACCAGAATAAACTTAACAAACACAATAACTTAAGAAACAAGGAACGAGGAAGACAAGAATCATGGATGCAGACCAAAAAACCTAAAAGTCATGGATAAGCAACAAAATAAACAATCCGATATTGAAAGTTATAATGATTACACGCGACAAAAAACAAAAATTTTCTAAGGATACAATAATTTGTTCCATGTTCGCATAAGAAAACTTGATAATTTTTATTTATTTATGAAAATAGCTGGTAAATTCTTGTGTTTAATATTGAAATGTTTTTATTCATTTTTTTATTAATACTCAATGAACAATTAAAATTTAGCATTTAAAATAAAAATCATATTTAATTATTTAAACTTCCTTCGAAAAGTAACAAAAACTTTCAAGCATACCAATAAGTAAAGAACCAAAAAGAAAAAGAAAATGTTTTGTTTTTCAACAAAGATTTTCTATTTCGAATGAAATCAATCTTTTATTTTTCGACAATTAATATATTACTTTTAATATACTGTCTTTACGTTCTAAATTTGTTACTTAGTAGAATATTTTAATTTCATAATGATCTACTGGTCATTATAGTCCTAATTGTTTATTGTAGTAATGTATTATACATATATATATAAGCTTAAAATCAATATTTCTACTCTTCTATTTTTAGGGGCAGACGATGACGCTTTTTTACGACCGCCAGCGCTCTGGGAGGACATTGCTAGCAGCATACAAAACATCGACCCAGAAAATGCTAACATGTTGGGAGTTAGTCCAGGACATGTCAAATTAGAAGCGGTCGATGATTTGACAGTAAGTTGCGGCGCCACCGCGCCGAGTCCGCTTCTGTCTCCTTTAGAAATTAAAACAGAAAAGGTAAGTGTATTTGATGCAGTTTCATAAAATATACTTTATAATAAATTATATTTTACGTAAACCGACGTATTTCATTTAGTACTCCATAAATTTAATATCGCTCCTAAGAATAATTTTCTGTATTGTCTTATTAAGAATCTTTTCTTTATTCTATTTTCCAAAAGCTCAATTTTCCTGTAGCAAAACCCGTGCAGTTAGGAAGTTACTTCATAGATCATGGATTTTCTTTTTTTAACTTACTGATCATTTAGTTCTGCTCTATTCCTCTATAGTAACGGTAAATATGGATCCCGTGATTCTTGTGCTTATATTTTATGCTTTTTCTGAAACACTTTAAAATTTACAACAAGGCTAACTTACTAAACTTCTTGTTTGTCACATACAACTGCCGTAAGTGTTTCTGTTGACGTTATATCTAGTTATTTATTATATATTTCTTCCGATTAGTTGGTCAAACTAATTAGTTAAAGTCTATATAAACAATAAGTCTAATTGTCTATATAATTAACTAATTGTCAATTATGTAACATATATGTTACGATTTGACAAACAAACTAGTTAAACAAAGGAATTATTTTATTCCTTTTTCAAGACATAGTCGTTGAGATTATTTAAAATAAACTTGGACAATCAAGATTAACACAAATATAAAATATAATAATTGGACAATAAATTCTAAAAATTTTGGTCAGCATAGTAAAACTTAGTTTATTTCCTGACATATTTTGATAGTGTGTTTTAACACTGATCAGAGTGATATGAATTAAATTACAAAGGAAAATAAAATCTCTGATATCTGAAAAGAATTCATAACTATTTTTTACATATTATAACAAATAAGTTTACTGTACAGTTTAAAATCAATACTAGATATCTTGGTTCATAATATTTCAACCTCCAATTTTTTTTTTAGGTCCTCCAACAGTCCTGCCCAACGTTACATCTACTCGGAACCCCCACCAGTCCGTACACGCAACCCCAACCGACTAGCCCCCAACATCATCCTCCCCACTATCACCCCCAACAAGCGATGCACCACCCCCATAATAACAACAACAACCAATACAAATACAACAATGTGACAGGGGCGCAAGCAGGGCCTGCTCCAGGCAACGCGCTCTATCCCATGCCCTCTAGACTTATGTATGTGTCCCCCTTGACGCCTCCAAGTTCAGAGCCCGGTTCACCAGGGGGGGCGTTGCCGCGCAGGACGCCTCCGCCCCCCTATCCCGCCCCCGGATGTCCGCAACAGACGCCGGCTGCCGCAGTGCCGCGGATAAGTGGCGTCAAGTACAATAGGAGAAATAATCCAGAATTGGAGAAGAGAAGGATACACCATTGTGATTTTATAGGTAAGAAAAAATTAACTGAAAACTGAATTACATCACAGAAAACAGTTGAAACCTTTCTGAATTCAAATATTCAAATTCATGCAAGGAATTAAATTGCATTTATTAAACTTAGTAGTAAAAATATATACCCGTTTCTTATAAAATGAGGTTTTTTAATTATTTCTTCTTACATATATCCTTGAATGTAAAAAGCGAAAAGAAAATAATATTGAATAAACTTCGTGTTTTAAACTTCGCTTTCAGTATTTCATGTATTCAAATCGCTTAAGATTTTTTGCCGACAGAGTTTTTATTACGAGATTGCACAAAAGGGATTAGAAAAATATTGTTTACGTGATAATATGATGTTCGAATTTTTTTAAGAATTCATGGTTCTGAGAGTATATTACGAAAACGATTAAAATGTGTAGCCTAAAAGTGCATCGACAACACAACACAAAATCCGAATAAGATTGAAAAAGTATTTCCCAAACAGAAAAAGAGTATAAAACACCAAATATACAATAATATAAATTTAGTAATTTAAGTTAAAGAAGAATTGATAATTGGACAGCTGTGGCCAGATTTCAGTGGTATAAACAGGGCCTTCGATAACGGGCCTGCAAATGATGCACTGCAGGCGGGCGCTCATGTTTTGGAGGTCACCAAAAAAACCTTTATGGCGATTGTTATACAAAATACTAAATAAAAATATTATTTTTTTAAATTTCAATTTCAGTCATAATTTGTTAATCTGTATTTGCTATTTTTCCATCCCACGCACGTAAAATATATAAAAATATTCAACGAATAGAATTCCCACCATGTAGCAATTTATTGGTACCACCATTAGAATTTATTGGTAAATATATTATGTTAAAAAAAATAATTTACTTTGCACTTATTTAAAAGGCTTGTTTATTTTCTTCAAATTTCTTTGAAATTGTTTAAAGGTTATGTATTAGCAGTTAGAAGCGTAAATGAATTATTTGTACGGTTTATCAGTAGCTTCGACAACTATGTGTCTGTGTGATAGCCAAAAGAATAAATAAATACAATTTAAAAAAAAACCGTACAGCGCCTATGCTAGTAGCGAAGATAAGGACAATAATAGCGTCCAAAAAAAACATACAAGAATACACCAACACAAATATGGAATACCGAAGTTCTACGTAATAAGGAGACAGAACAGATATTTTAAAAGGCTATAAAAATCGCTCTAACACAGACCAAAGACTATAACAACATAGACTCAGCTTGGAAAAATATCAAATTAGCTCTGACAACCGTATCAGATGAAATACTAGGACACAAAAAGGAAACAACAAATAAATGGTTCGATGATGATTGCCTGAACTCCATAACAGCAAGAAATATGGCTAGAAGGAACATGCTACAAAACCCCTCGCACAACAACAATGAAATGTATAGGCAAATAAGAACAGAGACAAAAAACTAATGAAAAGGAAGAAGAGAGAGTATCAGGAACAAATAATCAGATATATAGAAGAAAAAAGAAAGAACAAACAAGCGAGACGGTTCTTCAAAGGAGTTTCAGATATCAAGACCGGGTACCAAGCAAGAACAGGAAACTTCCTTCAAAACGACAGCGGGCAGCTTATCACTGATGACAAGGAAATCCTAAAAACCTGGATGGAATACTTCTATCAACTATTGAACGACCAATCTAGCAGAAATACATCAAACATAGAGGTACGTCCTGCTGAAATAGAATACCAGTACCCGACATACGAAGAAGTAATACAGGCAATTAAAAAACTTAAAAACAATAAGACACCAGGTAGCGATGGTATACCCGCAGAGTGCTTAAAACATGGAGGAGAATCGTTGTACAGTTCTATATACAAGCTAATTCAAGACATTTGGCGAGAAGAAACAATGCCAGATGAATGGAAAGAAGGGGTTATTGTACCAATACACAAAAAGGAAACAAAAAACAATGTATTAACTACCGAGGAATAACACTCCTAAACACCACCTACAAAATCCTTGAAAACATCCTGCTAGAAAGAACCAAAACATTCATATAAGAAATCGTTGGAGATTAATTATCAATGCGAATTTAGACCGGGTCGCTCTACTATTGACCAGATATTCACAATAAAACAGATAATAGAAAAATGCTGGGAGTTTGATCGTGAGCTTCATCAGATGTTCATAGATTTTAAACAAGCATTTGATAGAGTATGCAGGACCAGACTGTGGACAGTGATGGAGAAACTTGGCTTTGAAAAAAAACTAGTCAGGTTGATACGGATGTGTATGGAACGGTTACGATGTTAGGTGAGAGTTGGGCAACAATACTCGGAGACATTTGAAATAAACAATGGATTAAAACCGGGAGATGCACTTTCACCACAACTCTTCAACTTAGCTCTGGAGCACATAATCAGAAGGGCAAGAATCGAAAAACCGAATACAGTATTTCATCGAGAAGGACCAAATTTACTACCGGCATTTGCAGACGATATCGATGTAATAGCAAACACACGATTAAGGATGAAGGAGACTTTCGTGAGGTTCGAGAAGGAAGCAGAGAAGATGAAGAAGAACCAAAGCAGAGACAGAATCGGTCAGAACATCACCATTGATGACTTTAACTTTGAGCGCATTAGCGAATTCAAGTATCTTGAAACAACAATAACTGAAGACAATAACGGATCACAAGAAATAAACAACAGGATTCAGGCCAGCAACAGACGTCTTTCTGCCTTCCAAAACCTTATAAAATCGAAACAACTAACCAGACGTACGAAGATACAGGTCTATAATCTACAATCATATGACCCGTTGTGACGTATGGAAGCGAAACGTGGACGATAACAAAGGCAAACGAAGAGAGACTATGTGTTTGGGAAAGAAAAATCTTAAGGAAGATCTTTGGTTCTGTGTTGGATGAAGCATCAGGACAATATAGGATAAGAACTAACAAAGAGCTCGAAGAACTTTACCCAGACGCCAACACCAGAAATGAAATAAAGTCCAGAAGACTCCAATGGGCAGGACACCTCAGAAGATATTCTGACGAACGAACAGTAAGACTGATGTGGGACGAAGTCCCAACTGGAAGGAGTCCACGCGGATGCCCTCTTCTCCGGTGGCGAGATAATATAGTAGGAGACCTAAGCACTATGAGCGTGGAGAATTGGATGGAGGATGCTCAATACAGAAAACAGTGGAGGCACGTTGTCGAGTCGGCTAAAACCCACGAAGGGTTGTAACACCACGGAGTAAGTAAGTAAGCCTATGCTAGTTACCTTATACCCTAGCACCGGGACTGCGTATAAGCACAGCTTAGGTGTGTAATAACAAAATATATAATAGTGGAACTAAACCTCCTAAGAATGATTTCAGGAAAGCAAGTAATATATCTACAGTTTGACCGATCGGTATGAATCAGCAGAATATGTGTTATAATATAATAATTATTACAATATAATCTACATATTGATCAATAAAAATCATCTACATATATTATTAATATTGCAATATACTCTCAAGTGCATATTTATTACTCTCAAGTACATGCAAGTAATGAAGCTGATTTCAATTACTAATGTTGTTAGTCATTTATATAGATTATATCCGTACTACATATATCTGTATATTACAATAAATATTTCTGTATATATGCAGATATATAGAAATTTAAATGCAATTACATGTATTGATAATTAGGATGGGCTTTCTCACAAAAGAAGAATAATTAGTCTTTCGCATAAATAAAATATAAATAGTATTTGAATTAGCATGTACCGTTCGAATTGCACGACACGACTATTTACTTTAATAGAGAAGTTTGTCACATGTGGAGGTCAAACAGGTAAAAATTCCAAGAACAAAATTTGTTTAAATTGCATAAATAGAAATATGTTTGCAATTTTTTCTTACAATATAAACCTAATACACTTATATTAAGTAGTAACAATTATGGATAACTCATCAAACTGATATTAAAATAGAAAAGGGTCCTACAGGGGTAACTTATCCTACAGTCGCCACCAAATTATTGTAATATTTATATAATTAATTCATAGTGTCATTATGAAGTCGTTTGTATTTGATGGAATTACTAACAGAATCAGGTAGGAGTAGCATTGTGTTCATCTGTGACTGGACTATTTGTTTATGGTAGATACCTCTCGAAACTTAACGACACCACTCAAATACAAATGACTTTGTAATAAGCTTAAGAAAAGGTTTTCTACAATAATTTGTTGGCAACTATACTTGTATTTAATAGTCATCATCGCATGTCCCAGATGTGTTTAATGGTTAAATGATAAGAGGTGTGGTCAGGACAAAAAAAATGAGCAAACTTAATTCTGGCTGTATGCGGTCGCACATTATTTTATTGGAAAAGTGGGTTAAGGAGCATCCCTATATAAAGCAGAATATAAGGATCCACCACTTCCTGTCCCAATCCAGTCGATCACTTCGATGTCTATGAGTAAGAGGTAGTGCGAACTGAGAACGCTATGAAATGTGTCCAAAATTTCTGGTCCGGAGATCAGAACCGTTCGCATTCTAATAGGCCTTCCATGCGCTTCAAAACACTAGTCTGCATTTGACTTTGTGAACATGAAGCGGCTCCATACAGATAGAAGCCTAAGCCGACGATCTTGGTGCTTGACCGTTCTTCTGACGCGCTGTACGAGCCTTTTCACATGCACACGGTTTCCATATAAATAGTTCCGTGACGGTTCGAGTAATATATGTATTTGAACGAAAGCTTTCAGACCTCATCGTGACCGCGTCGTGATCGTAGAGCGGCGCGGTCACGGCGTGGTCAGAATGGTATTGGTTTTGCCTTAGCTCGTTCACATACACACGACAAGGTCGTACGATCTCTCGACAGTGGCGTGTTTCGGCGTAGTACGTATTTAAATACAAATGGTAAAAGACATAGATACCCAGTTAATAATTAATTTAATCGAATATTATTAACAGGTTAAGAAGCAATTTGAATTATTAACAGGACTCTTATCTTCTCAGAAGGT